TGAAAGTTGTGGTATCATGGCGCGCACAGGGCACAATAGTATGTTGTCTCGGTAGTACTGTTCCGTGTCCCTTCCGGGAACAATATGCAGTGGCCTTCTGGCAGTCATAGTGATCCCACCCCATACATTACAGACCCTTACTAAATCTGTCATGACATCCGCATGGCTTTCGTTAGAACGCCCCCAGACACGCCCACGCAGTTCCAGAACGTCCCGAGTTAATCTGGCCTTATCTGGAAACATTACACGAGACCATCGGCGATTCCCCCAGTTTCTAAGCTCTAAACACCATTGGCGTCTGGCTGGCTTGTGTCGATTTGTTACCGGTGGCACAACACGTGTCGCAGAGCAAGCAGATTAAATACATGGAAACCCTGGTTTCTGATTAATCAATCAAGTATGGCTTTTGTGTGGTTGACCTAGGGCGCCACGTGTTACTGTGGATAATGAAAATCACCTATACTTATGGCTCAGAGCGATTTGACAGCCTTTCACTGAAATGGCCAAATCAAGAATGACCTCATATCCATGTGCACGGCGGAATTGCATGGTTCACGTGCAATGTTTCGGGTGTGCTGGGACTTCCGGTTTTGATTCTTGAACCGTTCCATCTCTGGCAGTCATTTTTTTAAAGCTGATTTGTCTTCTGACGACCGATCTTAACATTTTTGCTTCATTTTCATTCTATACCCCCAGGGATATCCTACAGGCGTCCCTCGTTAATGCTTTTAAGAATGTCTTTTCCAATTATATGTACGTCAGTAAGAGATTCACGAAAAGTATGTTGAACACATACATTTTTTTATTAATGACAAAATATCTTAGGGGAGACATTGTAATACATATATAACTTATTTATATGAGGGAATTTATTTGTTTAAACAAACCCTCGGGAGCGTGTTTTGTCCTTTACATACTTCTAGATTGATATTTTACAGCCTCATCCATGAACCAGTATTGGCGCAGAGATAATTGCGCCTCAGGGAAAGAATCGGTCCAAATATTTTGCAGACAGTGATACATAAATTCGTCATTATTAAGGTATAGATATAAATTTGATATTTAAAACTGAATGTCTCTAAACGTAGCTACAGATGTAGACGTTATACGGGCAGTTGAGTATTCAGTCTACAGTTATCCCTTTAATGACGAGAATAGGGACATGGCATCTGAGTATCACGAATCGACACTAGTCAAGACCACAACCTATACCTTAACGCGGGACGTTGAGACACTATACCCGGAAGTAAACTACCGGCCAAAAGAAAGTATACACTCGGGCTTGATGGTAGCTAAAACTTAAACAAACAGGAAATGGTTACTGGATGGCGATGTGACGAGCGGAATGAAGCAGCTATTGTCACGATTAGTTGGAGTTGGTTCACAGACACCAGACATTCAGCCTTGTAAAGTTTTATTTTGATACTATTTGTAATGTTTTGGTCAAATCTAAGTTTTTAAGTCAAACTTTCTTTTGTCTGGCAGTTTATATTCGGATTAAAGCATAGCAGTGTCTGGTCCAAACGGAGTCCTCTTGTGATGAGAATGCCCTGGTGTGAGCTCCATTTTGTGTCTTTGATTAATTAATAAACTATAAAAACTCGAGGATAGCGTTCGTCTGGTCCTCGACCAAAGAAGTGCCGATTTTCGGGAGTGCATAAAAAAGTAACAATTTGACCATGTGTTTTGGAAGCACCCGATGTACACGTGTATATCGAATACCCATTAGAACACATGTATATAGTGTCTTTGGAAAGTACCCGTTTGCACGTGAGTATAGGAGGTAAACATTTGCACGTGTTCATAGGAAGTACGCATGTAAACACGTGCATAGTAAATACCAAATTTGAGCTATATTAAGAAGTACTCATTTACACGCGCGTAAGAAAAGTACCATTTGTAAGTACCATATTTACAAAACCGAGGGTTTCCATACATAAGTACCATATTTACAAAACCGAGCGTTTGTATAGATAAGTACCATATCTACAAAACCGAGCGTTTCCATAGATAAGTACCATATTTACAAAACCGAGCGTTTCCATACAACATACACACAAATGTAATTAAATAAACGACAATCAGAACTTTGAACCCTTGGTGACCTTTACTGTACTGATCTTAATCTTCTGTGAATTCAGTCCCAAACAATTATATTTAATATGTCTTATTTGTATAGCTTCTTGTCTTAATATAGTCCCTGTATATGTATGTGCGTGTGTGGGTCAATAATGACCTTTGTCGTGTCTTAATAACCTAAGGTATGACCCTGGTCATTGGTCCAAAGCATGTTAACCAAGCCTGTACAAGATCAAACGTACATAACTTGCTTATCCACTGGGAAGTAACTCAGCTTTATGCCACCCAGAACAGGTGTTCGGGATCACACATCTTGCCTGCTTCAGACCAGTTGCAGGTGGTTCTGTGTATTCAGTCAGTCAGGGGTGATCGCTGGCCCCAAACCAAGTGGGTTGTTTCTGCGTGTAACACCTTCAACATGTGCTCTCGCGTTTCCAACCTTTCCAAACGGGTTTCTAGGCCGCATGTGTCCTAGTCGTCTAAGGAGCAGCAATTCATTGTGCAGAGTTGCCTCCCTTAGACATGACAGGATCTTATGATCGTGGGTTCGCGTCCCATATTAATTCTGATTATGACCCTTGATTTGTCAGCCTATATTCTAGCACGTGGGATCCCTTAAAGTGGTAAAGTCTTTCCTCGACTTTAACACGCCGTGGTATTACTGAAGTATGTTTCAAAGCGGCGTTTAACCGAACACACTCACTCACAAAACTGAAACAAGCAAGAGGTATAATTGTAATTTTTTATTTTGATTTTCTCTCATTTCCCACTATCTTGACACATGATCAAGACAGCGGTTCGTGGACATGTGATGGCGTGACCACCTCATACACAATTCCATGTATCAACGGACACGTGGTGACCCAGTATTCGATCACAACTGAAGCACTTATGTCTTTTGATTAGAGTAAATTCTTCATAGTCAGTGAACTCTCAACACACTCCCTGAATTGTTTGTTCTATTATTTCCGTAAAGTGAGACCCCCTTAGTCCGGAAACCTCGACTTCAGCCTATCTATGATTCATGTGATTTCGGCTTCGCTGTATTATACGATTACTTCAAATCAAGAGAGTAATTCAACGACTTAATTACGAAGAGAATATAGTGGAACAGCACTACGCGAAGTGTATAAAATAACTGTTGCATATACCTTATTTTATATCTCCCTGTTCCACAGAAAGAGATGATGTTATGATATACATGACTCGAGGCTTCGTTAAATAAACAATATCCACAGGCGAGATGGTCAATATGTGTTATTTAATTAAAGAATTAGTCATCGGGTGAAAAAATGGCAAAAATGGCAAAAAAGAGTTTTGTATGGAATGACAAGCTTGTGAATCGGTTGCTTCACATCCTTTTGACTCATCTTCATCTGTTTCTTTACTCTAATTATTCGGGAGGTTCAAATGTCTCACTTTTTAAATTTTGGGTCGGTAGATAGGTGAACTTAGTACTTAAGAAGGGAAAGCCACAGTCATATGGCTCGTCTCATCAAAGGAATGGCCTTTGCTCATTAGCAATACATGCGATACGATAGCACTGGGCAGCGCGTACGGACTAGAGACTCATTTAGACTTGAAGACAGGCAGAGTCCACCTTGTGTAAACAAGGTCAAAAGGAATGACAAATCAGATGAATATCATCTCATGTTAATCTTCGACCAATGTGAAAAACTTCCCATCAACCATTTGTATTTCCTCTATCTACCCGGCCTCGATTAGAGACCCGGCGTATATTCTGTTTAATACCCGCACAGCAGAACATCACTACGTTAAATGTCATAAATTAATGTGAAAGGTATAATTACTTTCATCAAATGATGGACCCAACCTCTATTAAAGACCCGGTATCTAATAGAGGCCCGGGGTTCATTTTTGGACAAAGCGGTTGACTAGGCGTCAGTTTGAGGCAACGTCTATTGGATCTCCGGTGTTTAATACAGGAAAGACGGTACACGTTACTATTCTCATCCACCTCCAGTCTACGTCGACGTTCAGTGGACTATAATATACATGTATATCCAGTTATCCGTTGTACGAAATAGCCATTTTCACAGGCTTTGTAGCCTATCAGTTCTCAATTCTTGTGAGTAAGGTGATGTTGTTTTATGCCACAGGTTGCAATATATCAGCTATATCACGCCGATCTGTAAACAAGTGAGTCTAGACCAGGGAACCAGTGACGGAAGGCATGGGCAACGACGGACGCCATCAGCCAAATCAAAGAGACCACTCGATATCCATGTATGTCCGCTATTAGGGTCGGTCGTACGCTACACGATTCTAATCCATTGCCGATAGGGAATCTGACGAGAATATAAAATTACATCGCTAGATAATTGCGCGACCCGTGAAGATCCGGGGTAGAATAGGTCTTCAGCAACCCATTTTTGCAGTAAAAGGCGACTATGCTTGTTGTAAGAGGCGACTCTAACGGAATTAGGTGGTCAGGCTCGATGACTTGGTTGATGTTTGTCATCGTATCCCAGTTGCGTGGATCGAAGCCCATGATTCCAATCACTGGAGTGTCTGGTCCAGACTCAATTATTTTCAGACCACCGTCATATACCTGGAATATTGCCGACTGCGGCGTTAAACAACAAACAAATAAACAAACAAACAAACAAAAAGATAATTGCGTTGACAAGGTTTCACTTTAGGTATAGTCGTTTTCAAAATTCAGAATTTCCAAATCACGTTTAGCGTGCCTTTTGATATAAATTCGTGAACATCTAACGTGTTCATGCTTGGTAAGTCCTCCATCTTGAAAGTTCCACGATGCGGTGAGATGAAGTATCCATCATTCTACGTATGGCACCCGGAACTCACAAGCGTACTTCTGTCCATTATAAGTTCTTATAATGACATGCAAAACAGAACTTAACAGTCACACACCCTGAGTTTTTGAACCTCGTCGGAGTGGGTTCCAGAATCGACTTGACAGTGAGGATGTCTTTCGGCTCACATCGGAAGTGTGTGATTTTGTAAAGAAATCACGGACATGAATCAACATCCTTACTCATAAAATCTCTCAGAAATTAAATAGTTAACTGCGTACAAAACATTTGGCAACATTGGTCTGTCAATTTCAGCGACGGATGTCACCAGGTCTAATGAGAATATTTACGCATGCGCACTATAAAAACAACCAACAACGACCACTCGGGCCACTCCGAGATCCGAACGGGCATCCTACATTTGCCGTAATGGGACGAGTAGTGCCGAATGCAGTCAACTCGGTTTTTGCATTTTTCGCTTCCTCTGAATCTTCTCCTTGAGTGAAGGGGCAAGTTTGACAGTGGAAGGTCTGTCATAGATCTCCTCAATCTTCTCCGGACTAGTTTTGAAGGTGTGTATAATCTCCAGCTGTAGTAACTGCCCTGACAAATCTGTCACCTCATGCTCCAACTTACTCAAATTCTCGCTAAATTTATCCAAATCACATTTCAAGGAGCTGTAGGATTTCTCACTCATTTCAACCTTCTCCTCCAGGAGGACCTTCTCCTGCGCCTTCACCACAATATCGTCCTCAATCTTGGTCAATTCTTTTTCAATTTCTCCTAGAAACTGTTCCAGTTCTCTAACCTGCTTCAAAAGCTTGGATCTCTTCATCTGCAAGGCGTAATTCCGTTTCGTTTGTGAAAGGGTAAGTTTTAAAAAGTCAACCATGCTCTCCTTCTGCTGTTTTTCCACATGCTTACATTTCTTCTCGTTCTGGGTCCCTTCCAGCTGCCCCTCGAGACAGTTCAGCTCCGTCTCAATCTTCTGGAGCTTCTCCCGGTTGTTCTTGAGCATGATGTAAGAGGACTTCACGGTTTTCCCAATCCTCTTCTGCTTCTGTTTCTGGCTGCGCAGATCGTCTTCCCGCCTTTTTGTGATGGATCTCGTCTGCTTGATGTAGTTGTTGATCTCGTACATGTAAGTCTCGTCTCTCTGAATCCACTGACGCGCGAGGTCACACATTGTATCAATCTTGGAAGTCACGTCACACACGAATCTCAGAATAGGAAAGGCTTTGAGGTCACAGGAAACAAGAATCCTTTCTGAAAACTCAGTTGTGTCGTATAAATCTTGATGAAGGCCGCCATTGAAACTTTTGAGAAGAATTTGTGTGTTTGTCAGGATCTTTTCTATAGAAGTCAGATAGCCTGATATATCATCAGTATATTTGACACTGACATCCAACTGAACGGTGGAATCATGGTAACTGATGCAATTCATTTTAAGTCTATTAAGAACGGTTTGCTGAAACGTGTGAAGTAGAACTCTAAGACTGTCGGACGTTGACTTCACATTGTCCCAGTATTCAGTTAAAAACATGATGCTCTCGGGGTCGCCAACCACCTCCCTCAGCTGGTTCAGGAGAGACACAATCCTCATCTCAGCGTCTATCACCTCAAGTTTCTGATTATGTTTCCGCAATTCATTGTTCCCCTTAAGAAAATGACTGTCACATCGCTTCAGGTACTCCTCGAAGTTGTCGTCTGATACCTCTTCGCACTGGTGGTACGTGACCTTGACCCTGGCAAGCTCGACCTCGACCTCGTTGATCTTACCCCGAAGGAATTCTAGCCCCTCAAGATACACTCTCTGTAGTCCAGGTCGTGCTGTCATCGTCGGCTTAGGAGAGTCCTACAAATAGAAGAAACATAGTTAGAAACTTTGATAACAGCCACCATAGCTACATCTGTTATAGCCGATAATTATTCTCAAATCGAGTAAGTGAATGCTGTTTTACGCCCCAGCAATATATCAGCTATATCATGCCGATCTGTAACTAAGCCAGTCTAGACCAGGCAACAATTGACAGATGCCACCAGCCAAGTCAAAGAGACTGACCACCAGATCCCCATTTTAGGGTCGGATGATCCACTTGATATCCACTGGAAGAGACTGGGGCTTATCTCTGACCTATATAGCATCGATGAGAGTCCACACTATCGTGATACTGACTTCCCGTACATACGAGACGCTGGGATATGCTAATAATGCATATCCACCTATTGGCTCATGAAAACCTTGATGACGTGGGCATTGAATCAGTTTTACTTGTGGTGCTCATGTCCCCGACTAAACTTAAACAGAATAATTTTAGCTGCCGGGCAAAGAAAAGTTTACATCCATGTTTGATGGTGGCTAAAGATGAAACAAACAAGAAATGGTTACTCGATGGTAATGTATTTGATTTGGGTAATTGTGTTTTGCAGTGTTTCGGCGACTGTTCAGCCCAGTAACGTTTTGATGACGTTTGTAATTTTTTGATGACATCCAATATTACGGATTACGGATTTCTGACCCCAAAACTGAGGTCGTTAGGTCGAAATAACTCCAGTTTCAAATATTGTTTTCGTTTCCCCACAAGTAGGTTTAAAAATATATTCAACAGGTTTTAATTGTAGTATTTTAAATAATTCATTTATATGGGTTGCGACAATAAATGAAAAGATTTTTTAAACATTTTACTTATTTCTGGTTGGCGGAATATAAAACCCCACTGCTTTTCAGTTCTTTGTGTTTTTCATATTTCCTTTATTTTTTTGGAGTCGGCCGATTCCTGAACCAAGTTTTGAAAAAGGCAGGCCAAGCTGGCAGTTTCGACAATCATGCAGGCGATAATATGGATTGTAGCATAGATTATATTGAGCTAGGTTTAGGTATGTAATCAAATGTATTGCCTGCAGTGTTACTTAAATGCGCCGTCCATGTACTGGACATTGATACACACAAATATGAGTGAGTGAGTTTGGTTTAACGTTTAACAGCATTGTTTTAGTTATACCACGTGTGTGAAATCCAATGTTCAAGTGTACTTTCTTTCTTTATATTACCCTAATGCTTAATGGTAACCTTCATTACATAGCCATTGCCTCAGTTTTACGTATGGTGCTAATGTTTTCTTTGTTTGTTGTTTAACGACGCAATCAGCAATATTCCACCTACATGACGGCGGTCTGTAAATTGTGTCGTTAGAGGCGAGTGACGGGATCGGGTGGTCAGGCTTGCTGACTTGGTTGATGCAAGTCATCGTATCCAAATTGCGTGGATCGATGCTCATGATGTCAATCACTGGATTGTCTGGTCTAGACTCGATTATTTACAGACAGCCGTTATACGGCTGGAAAATTGCTGAGTGCGGCGTTAAACAACAAACAAATATTTCATTCCCACACACAAATCCTGCTTTCCGTTAGGTCACACTGTCATGATCTGTAGCCATCTACCTGTATGGTGTAACTTCCTGCAGTCACTGTATCAACCCATTTGTGATGATTTAAGTACCGCTTTGTTGCATGTTTGTGTGCAACGCTGCACTCAACAAACAAAAGACTGGCTCAATGATAACAAAACTAAGGTAAAAAGAATGGACAATGGGAATAAAACAACAGTGAAATGAGAGTGAGGAATGGCAGTTTGGAATCAATGGCAGTAAAACACACAGAGACGAAGCCTATTGGGGCCTTTATTACTGTTTTACTGTTACCATGCACACACAATAACCAGCCTAATGAATGATCAAAGTAATTGAAAAAGGATTATTGCAAAATTCGTGCCATGTTAACACGTACTAAAACGAACTGTGTGTGAGTGTGTAGGTAGGTAGGTGGGTGGGCTGGTTGTTTAGCGAGTGGTTGAGTGATTGCGTGAGCGGTTGAGTGGGTGGTGAGTGAGTGGGTGGGCGTGTGAATGAGTGGGTGTGGGGTGGGCGAAGAGGGTGTGTGTGTGTGGGGGGGGGGGGGCAGAGCGTGGGGGGGGGGGGCGATTTGACCGTCAGTCGAATGAGAGGTAGAGTGAGTGAGTGAGTGTGTGTGTGTGTGTGTGTGTGTGGGGGGGGGGGGGGGGGGGGGTGAAGAGGGGGTGGGGGTGGGGGGTGGGGGGGTGGGGTGTGTGTGTCAGAACGTGGGTGGGTGGTTTGACCGTCGGTCGAATGAGAGGGTGAGCAAGTGAGTGTGCGGTTGAGTGAGTGAGGTAGTGAGTGAATGTACGGTTGAGTGTGCGGTTGAGTGAGTGAGTGAGTGAATGAGAGAGAGTGGTTCGGCGTGTGAATGAGTGATGGATGTCTGACGAGTGGGTGAGTGAGTGGGTGGGTGAGAGGAGTTCAACTCATATACACAGTCCTCGAAGTATAACACGGCGAGGAAACCAATACGACTGGGACTCCAACAAAAGGCTTCACACATTGTACATATTAAGGATGTCTACCTCGGGACATCGGCGCGACGAGCGAACGCTAGAATACTCATTAGATGACCAAAGTATCTTAAACTGACCATTTTTAGAATCGAACGCGCTAACCACTGTGCCACCAATGCGCCCACAGTACAGAGATACACAGATTGAGAAAGGCTATCTACCAGCGGGGTATTTTATTGAATACCCAGTTCTGTGTTACAGAAAGGGGTAACTGATCACAAATCAGTTGATCTGGTCGAGTCGTTTCAGCGACGCCGAGATATATCCGCACGCTTTGATCCGCGTCGGCAAGCCGAGCTGTCAGACTTACATAGAACCGTTATTCGGCTATTTGGGTAAATCACTTCATCGCCGACAGCATGGCGACGACGGCGCAGTCTCTATCCGCTACACGAGATAACACTGCTGGGAAAGACAATGGCCAGTGTGTTCACCTGGAAGGTCTCAGGAATCTATTCACTGTGTGACCATCTGAGGTGTCGCCTCATCATACATTGAAACCCCTTTAATCCGGATGGCGATGGGCCTGGCTAAATCGTCCGGATTAACGAAGGAGTCAAATGGGAATGTCATTTTTTTAAGTTGCGGAAAACTTGGAAATATTTGTATGAAACTATAAATATTCTTAGACATGTTCAAATGTTATATTTGGGATAACACTGAGTAAAGTACAGATTCTCGTACTTGTCTCAGACATGTTCAAATGTCTGACAACTGGTCATTTTTCTTTCTTACACTTGCACGTTTTGGACATCTGACAGGATGAAATACATCAATATAGCTCTTATGAGCGAAAAAGCCTATCTGTCGAATCAGAAAATCTAAGTATGAGTAAGTCCGTGATCCAAGTTGATTTTATTTTCTATGTTTGAACTGTTTCTGTCGACATGCCTTAAGAACGTCAGCTCAGGTTAAAGACCTGCACGGGTTCAAATCCTTGCAAAATGTTTCCCGGAAACCTCTTAAATCAGCGTAATGTGGGGATGTGGGGTTTCCGGGCTAAACAGGTCCGGATTATCGTTCTTATTTGGAATGTTTATTTCTCGCGCTCACTCAATTAAGAATTCAAGTGGGAAGTGCATGGTCTTTGATATCATTTGTTTGTCTACTGTGAGCTGCTAGCGGGTTTGAATCCAAGATTTGCGGTCCGACTATGATCCCGGCCTATCAACACCATACCCATGCTCGTGGGTTACAACAAAGGGGAAAAGTTTAAGACCTACATCATTTCGGGCTTTCCTCTTACATCAAGCTAAGACGCCACTATATATAAGAAGTATTATTATTCAAAGCGGCGTTAAACCAAACTCACTCACTACATGTATTACAATGAAACCCGTCTATCCATTATAAGAACAATCATGTAGGTCACCAATGAGCTATCTTAGTATGATTCTGATTATGCCGGTGGTGGTGGTGGTGATGATGATGATGATGATGATGATGATGATGATGATGATCGAGTTTGGGGCCGTTATTAATGACGTAGAGTATCTGTGAGTAAGTCGAAGCACCTGTATATCAAAATTCAGTTACCTCGACGCACAACTCTTATGTAGTGTAATCTTTGATGTGGAGATTAATCCTGCCTGAACAAAGACGGCCTGATATAGTGTAGTTTAGAGATTAAAATCATTACGGGGACGAGGCCGTGGTGTAGATTACACAACTAGAACACATGCACTGAAACAGCTTTGTCACTAAACGTTGTAAAACATAGACTCACGGAATAACACGGCTCGTATTCAGAAAGACTCATAGTCTTATATTTTATGAATACACAATTTCATATACAGAAAAGAGTAATATTCTCAGACATGGTTGGACAACAAAATGAGATTGTTAATGAATCAGTGCATATCTACTATAAGTATTTATTCCCGGGAATCTGAAATCCTGCTGTAGCGGTTGTCCGTTCAGGCAAGGAGCAACACCCTATGTTATTATCTACACTGTGTGGCCTGCCTTTACCTAGCAATGTGCCACCAAGACTAATGCATGCTGAGGCTCAATCTAAGAGAACACAAATTTAAAATCTAAATGAATTAACGAATTGAAAATTGCTATTTCACTTTTGTGCCAGTGTTTTATTGCTGCAAATGTCTCTCGCGATCTACTGGTGGATTCTGTTTTATGTACAGTTAATATGTATGTCTTCAGAAAGTGAGACCGAATTAAAAATATTACTCTCTAAAAACCAATGTTATATATTTCTTTCAAATCAATCAGTCACGAATGCATTTCAAAATATCTTAAAACCATTCAAATGCCATTTCAAATAAAAGCCCCCAAACCCTTTTCATGTTCATAAACATAATACAGTAGGGTGTGGATGGTGTAGTCAGGTATGAATCGTAGAGTCATACCGTTCAGATTGAACAGAGGTGACACGTTACGCAGTACTTTGCCTCAGCGTAGTTGATCCACAAATTATATATGAT